ATGAAGCAGATGTACCATTATATACTTGTCACCATAAAGATGATTTTTCAATATGCATGACATCGTCAAACACACTTTATGGGATACATAGTTATAATGCAAACTTCCTATGATGATACATTTTCTTTGTAAATGCGTTTAAAGAATTTTTGTCCAGTATAGAAAATTGAGGTTTCTTAACACATACAAGTGTTCAACTTTTAATGATACAGTTAAAAAGACTTTCAACACACAGACTTCAACAACATGAGCAAAAGACTGAAAAATTACTCATCATAGTTTTTAAATTATTAAATTTATTAGTAATATAAAAATTGCATCTTGAGGATGAGAACTAAATTTAAATGTAACACTAAAAGATGTACAAATATATATTTAAATTAAACCTTGACACTATATTATAAGTTTTCAATCATAAAATACATATCAGTACAGTACTTAACAAATTTTTGAACAAAATTGCTATTTTTTTAAATGGGCCTACTTATTTATTTTATAAATACTGTAGTTCATAAAATAATCCCTTATCATCCCTGATGACTAGTTTGATGCAAGCAGTATAATAAACTGTACACCCACTACAAGGATACGGTCAAGCTGACCATATCTATGTCTAACATCCTAGCAATGACCTTCTGGCAGAAAGAGGTAAATTGGCTGAGTCAGGATCTTCAATACTGGAGGTGGGGATGGAAGCCACCCCACTGAAGGCTCCTGAACACCACCTAGAAGGTATAGGCATCATGAAACCAATCCAGAAAAGACAGCATATCCAAATCTGTACCCATCCCACCTCACCATCAAAACAATGTACAAAGTACCAATGGAAAGAGCCACTACTAGCCTTCCATGAAGCATTAAATAAGACTGCCTCTTCTGATAAATTGACACCAAAGGCAGAGATACCTGCAAAGATACTATCCTCATGGGACCCTTACCTTGACTAAGAGCCTTCACTCCTCAGGCCTTGGGTACCCACGGCACCAAAGCGGGAAATGAGCCATACCCCAACAAAAGCTCCACACGATGGCTGAAAGCTGGTCCCAGCAGCCATGACCAACTGGGACAATGCTACTCCAGGGAACAAAAAGGGAAGAAAACATTGTGGTTAGAGGCATAAGAAGAGACCACACGAACTGGGAACAACATACAAGGCAGGTACAAAAGAAGTCTGCCACTGGCAGGAGCAGGGATGAACATTATGGTCACACCGGATGCCACTACCACTGCAGGGAAAGAGGCAGCAGCCTCAGGGTGCTCCTGGAGTTTGGAGTCATCCTCAGGTTTGGATGCCAGGGCATCCAAATCCACGCACAACAAGTCAACAATAGCACCTGTCGTGCCCATGTCTAAGGCAGAAGCCTGTGGACAACTGTGACCTGTGGAACAAAAGCTACAGAAACTGATGCATCTGCCATGTCCCAAAATGATGTGGCAAGGTTGGAGCACACTAAATGGCAAGCCAAGCCAGGAATGCCACACTCCCAAAACAACCTGAGCACCAGCCCTACTTATATCAGTCCACCAGACAACGCTCATGAAAAATGCCACCCTTACCACTGGGGCCTCGCAGAGGAGCATATGCACTCTTGAGAATGAGGAGCCCAAAGATGATACCTGAACCTCCTCAGGAAATATAACCTTGATTAAAGACAGGGTCACTGCAAATGGCAACTAAGGAAGGGAATCTTGTCCCCATGCAGCCATGGCAAAAAGAAACAAAAGAAAGCCCAGGGCCCCAATGTCTGGCAAAGTCCAAGGAAAGGCCAACACCTATGTCAAAAGAAGAGATTGGCCCAGGAGGGCTGTGCAGCTCCAGACATGGCAACAACAGATGCACGAATAATTGGATCGGTGGCCCAGGGCTGCTACCTGGTGGTGAGCACGTGCTACGAGTCATTAGTTAGACCCAGTGGACATTTACAAATGTGATCCATGCACAAGTCTGCTTTGGTGCACACAACCTTTTTGGTTGTTTTTCTTTGGGTTACTGTTATGGCCTTAGACCCCCAGACCCTTTCCTTCTATTGAGTGGAAGAGATTCTGGCACTGGTCTGCAGTAGGTGATCACGAATTGGCTGAGCCTGGTGTAGTATTAAGGGTTTGACAGTATACCAATGTGAGGCACCGAAGGGGGTCTTCTCAGAAAACATACGGCCTCCCAACTGGGAATATAAAATTATGTAATTATTTCATAAATTGTATTTTTTAAGTAATTATTAAAACAGTACTAAGTCAATATTGCTGTTTGGCATTAATGGCAAACCACCAATGATTTAAATTTTATATAAAAATACGTACTGTATTGTACTGTAAACTGCAATTTTGATCAAGATTACTTTTTGTTAAACAAATATGATCAACTGATGCATCTCAAGTGCATCCAAATATAAATAAAAACTTTATTGTCATACTAAAGCAATAAATAAATTAACCATAAATATTCGTCTACAAACTAAAAACTTATTTCTCATGGACTGTACCTACTCAATAAGCTGACCCACTCCAGGCTTCTGTATGATCAGAAAGTTATTTACATCAGAAAATTTTCATGATAAAAACTTTCGTAATTTTTGTAATACAATTTTCTAAGAAAAGGAGGGTGAACTGTAGTTTTTTATTTATCAAAAGTTAATGCTTTCATTACTTCCACAACCAAAGACAATAATGTATATAAGATTTGCTATAAAATGACTGCAAAGTTTAATTAAGATGTTGCGTGTTAAACAATGTACAAAGTTAGTAAGAGGTGAATCCTAATGTTCGACCAATAAAATAACAACTTTTTACACCGGAAATCCATGACAGCCAACAGTTTCATTTATATGACTGCAGTTTGTGCTTGGTCATACAATCATGCCTAAAAATACAACCTCCCACTCACTTCACAGTTATTATACAAATTAATACATTTTAAAATAACCTAATCTTGTTGTCTATTGTAACTCCAACCATCATATACCTCTTGATCACAAATAATGTTTTCTAAATAACTTGAATGCTACTATACTGCATGATGTAAATGGTTATTGGGTTACCAAGGAAGAAACCTTTGATCAGTCTAGCATCTGTCAAAACCACTCCAAATAGACAAATAAAATGCAGGTATATATAAATTTATTCTTTGTCATTTTGTACTACAGTATCTATAGTAGACACAGCCCCTTGCCAAAATGTGGCAGTTTTCAACTTCAAGTACTTTCAAGTGTTATTTAAAAAACCCTGCATTGAATGTAATGAAATGTTTCTTTCTGATAGAAGCTCGGTGGCTTCCTGAAGAGCCCCACACAAATGAGTCACATCAGTCTTAGGTGTCCTAAATGAATCACCAGGGACCTGAACCAGAACCTGAACTCCTCACAGATTAGCACAGGGAACAAGGGATTGTTTTGATCCTCACCAACAAACGACCCAGAAAATAAGCAAAGCAATACAGAAAATTGCAAGGTTCAGAGAGAGAGAAAAGAACTGAAGCAAATACTACTCCGCAAATGATTCACTCAGCAGCTAGACCGAATTCTCTTAGTTATGGAAGGCCATCAACAAGTGGGAGGAGAGTGAAAACAACGCTCATGAAATCGAGAACCTATGATGGAAACAAGAGAGACCTTCCACGAGAACGTTGGACACACCCTGGATGTGAACTGCACAGAGAACTAAACTCTTGACAATCCAAAAGCTGAAATACTTGCAGAGTCCAACTCCAAAGGGGTAGGGACCCAAGTAACCCCCCCCCACCACAGTTCAGTGAATGAACCATTGGGAGCACTTGAAATAGAGCTGGAAAACAGAGCAAAACAAACTCCCCAAAGGTTCTACCACATCACCGCAAACTCGTGCACCATGATGTACTCCCAAAGCACACTACAATGACCTTGGAAAGCTTGGTGAGCACTGGTCATTAAACCCCAATCCAGAGCTATGGCATCCATATATACATTGAAATATGAAGAAGGAAGGCATAATGGTGCTAAAACCCAAAAGCCCAAAGAGGACGACAGCAACACGAGCAGACAAAGGACAAAATGACCTTTCGCATTGGGGGACATCAGTGACAGGACAAAGGATCTGATGACATGGAAGCTGGGAGCTCCCTGTGATGCAGCCAACTATTGGTGGCCAGCTGTTCAGGAACAGGAATTTTCTCAAATATAAATTAATATTAATTTATATTAGCATATTGTACATATTTAGGCACTGGTTAGGTTAGGTTAGGTGTTTAGGTTCTGTTGGCGATTATTTATATTTGTTGTATGCGGGTGAAGCATTTACAGTGTTGTGGATTGAATAAAATTCTTCAGTGAAGCACTTGTTTCAGAAGTGTTCGAACGTCATCAGTTGTGAGTGGCGTGTAAACTGCTTTTGATTCATAAACAGGGGGTTTGGCAAGCGCATGGAATGGACTTTGGGTCTTTGTTTAGAGGACGGGCTGAATCTAGCTACTGCGTGAATCGTTTGCTGCTTCAGTTGTTTTATGTGAACCTTGCAAGTTGTCTGTATTGCTTCACTTACTTTCTGAATTCTTCCTTGGTGAGGGTGATTGTAACAATCCCCTGCTCCCTGTGCCTCTGAGTGGGGCCAGCTTCTGACTCTGGTTTCTGGTAAGCTATTTAGGATTCTTATGTGATAATGTGATGCATCTGTGTGGAGCTATCTCAGAATGTTAGCTTCAGGGAGCCACCATTCAATCATTCCAGAAATGACTTCTGTAAAAATAAGTCATTTCAGGGCCTTCTGGGCACAATCAACACATGCTTAGTCAAATAGTGGTTACTGCTCTTTAAACAATGTTGACCAATAGGTATTTTCTTAAATAACTGGTTTTAATTTGATGAAGTACCTTGCTGAAGTCTTCAGTTTGTTGCATGAGATTTGATATACTGTATAAGTTTCAATATATGCTTAAAAAAAGGCAAATAATATGTTTATGTTTATATACTTATCTATAAATCATTTAAGGTCCTCATTTTTATAAGCAGTTACTCCTCCACCAGCTGAAAAAGAAAGAGTAATTTCATGCAAAGTGTTACAGTATTTGGTAATACAAGATATTCACATGAAATTAAACTGTCACATACACTTTATATTAATTTTTTAATATAGTCAAATTAACGTAGAACTTTTATACAACTCCTAATTGCAGCTCAATTTTCTGTCCACATTAATATATACTGTACGGTACAAAATTATACTAAAGTCTGTGTCTATATGTAACTATATGTGGAGTTGCCTAAATATGTTCGCAGGGTTCTGCTTGATCTGCTATATATGATAGATAGATAGATAGATAGTTCAAGTGTTTCTGTATTTTTTATGTTTTCAATTTGTAAAGAAATTTATAAATTAACTCTGAAGTTCATATTACCTGTAAACACGAAATTGTTCTAATGTATTTTGCTAAGTTTAACTTGATATCTTCAGACGCAGTGGAAAAGTAAATACAAATTAACATACATACATACATATGTATACTTAAAAAAAAAAATATGAACCCCTTTTCCACAGATCTGTTGAATACAATAATTGTTGTCTTTTGCTATTTTGTACCAACAAGTATTAGATTTTATTGCTGGAAACAATAGACTGTGCTGTTGAGCACATTAAATTACAAAATCACTTCAAAAAAGGAAAATTATACTTTATTAAATATTTTGAAATTTTTGAATCAAACACCAGTCCAGTGAATGCATAGACTCACTCCACAGGAAGTCTTTCATTATTTTTCAGTTGTGACAGATTGCAATGATATTATGACTTGAATGAACCCTACTTTTAACATAGACACTCGGGTTCTACGGACAAAACAAAATGCCAAGCAACTGCTGACGTGTGTAAACAAGGATACTCAGCAAGGTAAGCAAAATGTTCATGGCAACAGTTGTGACATCCTTTTACAATACATTACCTAAGATAGCATAATAGTAATGAGTTTATTGGTGGTATGCAGTATGCTGAACCAATCAGACTTAGATCAATGGCTGAGCTGGGTTGTGGGGTTGTGGTTGACTACAACATCCATAAAGATGGTCACTCTTGCATGTTAAGGCAATACGTAAGCCAATTCTCTGTGTCTTCAACATAACCTACAATAAATGAAAAATAACATGGAGAATGTTAGAATTTTACCCTTCATAACTGTAATTATTCAGTAATTTTTTTAGGGCCAACTGATGGGTTTTCTCTCTGATTTTAACTTCTTTTCATCTTCAGAGGATACCTGAAAAACAAGAAAAAATACAAACCAATAAAAAAAGAACCAGGGCTTTGTGGGGGGCAATAATTGCATGGGATTTAACAGTGTTGTGATAAGGTATAATGCATGATTCTTAGAAAAGGGTGCTCAGTAGAAGATTCTGAGGAAATGTCGCGACCTGATAGTAGGTAGGTTCTTAATGTCAACCTGTCATAAAGTATGCGAAAGATCATCAATTTAACCACTGTGCTGTGCCGGCCGAGAAAACTTGTTTGCCGATAATTGCGCCAACCGAGAAAAGACTTTTTATATATTTTCGTACACAGTCGAAACACGAGTGCGTTAAATTGGGTACAAAATGGATTCCTGGGACTTCCAGCGAGAGGCAGAAATCTTGAAAAAAAATCCCAGATTTCCCTAGGGCTGCTAGCAGGATCAATTCTGAATGAGATAACTGCGACTATTAGATATAGTGGAATGAGTGGTAATGATAGTACTGTACTGTAGTGGTATACTTGTGGCGAGTTTGAAGAGTTATTCTAGTGTGCAACTCAGCCAGTCGCCAGGCTTTTTCTATGATGAATTGATTGGTAAGAAAGGTAGTGAACAACAGGTCCAAACAGTCATCACATTTTGGTTGATAAAGCACTTCCTGCAGGAGCTTGATGGTAGACAAGTTGCTTGAGAGGGATGAAGGAGTAAATGGTTATAGGGTAGGTAGTGATGGTGATATTGGTGATTCTTGAAGATTGTGGTAGGGTTTGTAAGGCAATTGTGGTGGTAGACAAGTAGATGAAGGGATAAAGGGAGGGGGTAGATACGAACTATCAGTTAAATGAGATTATATTACTTTCCAAGACTTGAACTCAGTATAAGAGACGTGGCAGTGGTGTGGTTGCAGCAGTTGATGGAAGTAATGGTAGAATTTGTAATGATGTGTTGTGGTTGTAATGGTAACCACATAACAATAAGGACCTTCTACTACCATATGCGAGCTTCAAACTGATATGCAAAAGTGTTCACTATTTATCACACGGAAACTTTAAATTTTGAAGAAACAAAATTTCACTCAAAGCCATAAGATATCCCTACCAGGAATTTCTTATTACAGAATCTCAAAAGCTCTGATGTCTACTTACTCCTTCCGAAGTTGATTTTTCTTGACCATTCACAAGTTTTATTTTTTTAGCTTCCTTCTGACATTCCTCTGAATCTTTTCTTTTATTCTGAGATTTTTCTTCTTGTGGCAATCTTTGTAATTTATTACTCGAAGATAATTCGCTATCTTCTGAACTTCTCCGCTTGATGACAATAAAATCAAGAGTTGTGCCTGAAGTATTAGCTGTGGCAGCTAACTTGATTTTCTTGCGGTCCGAATTAATGGTAGAAGGAGGTGGCTTCAATCTTTCTCTGGCAGCAGAGTCACCCAAAACAACATTTGTTGAGGAAATGAGTGAAGATCTGTCCTTTGACTCCATCACAAGCCTGTTAAAAGTAAAAATTAATACGAGAGAGACTGTGATATGTCTGTATTTTATCAGATTAATTCTATAAAATCTCATATTAACTGTAACATAAGAAATTTTAAAATACATATTATTGTGATTTCAGGAAAAAGTGCCCTTTTCCATTTCACTCTAAAAAAATATTAATCTAACATATCCAAATCTAATCTAATCTAGCCTATGCCTAATAAAAAAATCAGCATTGAATGTATCGAAATTCAATGTATTGTATTGACATCCCTGAAGGAACCAGAACAGCCGACGAAGCCAAACCTGACTCGGCGGGTAGACCATCACAGCATAGCTCAGGCCTCCGCACAAACCCTTGAGCAACTGCCGAGTGACCCGGGAGCCCCCACCCCCATAAACAGGCGAAGGCGGGACTGCAGCCGAAGCAGACTCCGGAGGGAGAGACAAGGAAGCGGTCCAAGAATCCCACACAAGACCCAGCCAAGACCAAACCTGAGAGGGAACGAGATGGGCAACCCGTCCTCGACTCAAGTCCATTACATCCAGCGGTTGATCCCACAGACACATTCATAAATTTTTACATGCTGTTCATTCAAAACGGGAATTTTCTCAAATATAAATTAATATTATACTGTAATACTGAATATTAGCATATTGTGCATATATAGGCATAGGTTAGGTGTTTAGGTTCTGTTGGCAATTATTTGTATTTGTAGTACAAGGGTGAAGCATTTACAGCTTATGGTTCGAACAAAATTCATCATTGAAGCACTTGTTCCGGAAGTGTTCAAACGAAATCAGTTGTGAGTCGTGTAAAACCGTTTTTCATTCATAAACAGGGGGTTTGACAGGTGCATGGAATCACTTTTGGGTCTTTGTTTCAAGGATGAGCTGAGATGGGGCTTCATCCAGTTCACCAGGAACAGGAACTCGAGCCCAGCGAGCTGGGAAAGAATCAAATCCCTGGCAAGCAGACATGCGGACTGGCTGGGAAAAGGGTTCCAAACTCGAAGCAGAATCAGTCAAGGCAGAAACCCAATGAGAGCAAACCTCACTGGACTAATGGTTGTAAGCATCACAGACCCAGCAGACACCATGGTAGGAGACAGAAGGGTTATCATCCAGTAGCAAGGACAACGAGGACCCTTCGAGCTCTCACCGAGTGAGTGCAGACTCGACATGCCGATCTGTAACAAACTACACCAGAGATCTGTGGGGAAATTGCCAGGGCAATTCAATAAAGCAATTAGCCGGTCAGGACACCCAGGCACTAAAGCCACTCTCTGAAAGAACAGATGCCAAACACAGCCAAAAATCTTCGGCTATGAAAGGCGACCATGGGGCGTCATATAAACAGGCATACAAACTCCAGTGCATCTCAAGCACAACCATTAGAATGATTCCAATCAAGGAATCAAACAGAGGAGTCAGACTTATGAACAGCCCAACTCATGAATCACGAGATTTCTGGGCTTAACCACAGCCAAAGTCAGTCACATACAATTTGTTTTTTCCCCATGATCAGAAAATGCATTTTAACAGTACAGGTACTGTATTAGAAAGAAATATTTGTTTTAATTTATTTTTCTTACATCAGCTAAAAAGTGTCACAGTGCAGAGGTTGAAGCAGAGGGGCTTGCTATGAGCTGACAGACCCAGAGCACTACAGATAGTAGTAACCACCATCACATCAGCCACAGAACTAATCAGGCAGCCAGCTGTGGACTGGGATCAGGTCACCTGGTGCCGCCTATCAATACTATTGAGTTCAAGCTAGTTTTGAGTGAATCTATTGTTTCATTTTGAATCATTTGTGGAGTTTGATGTTTCAAGGCTTCATTTTCTGTCAACCTTACAGTTGTCTGTAAAGCTTCACTGATTTTCTGGATGCTTTTATCAGTGGGGTGCCAGATTGTCCCTCTCTACCTGTGCCTGTGTGGGGGCCAGGCTTTGGTTCTGGCCCCTGGTAGGCTAAACAGAACTCCTGCAACTGATGTAACCAATTAGAGTAAAACAATTTCAGCAAGACAGCTTCAGAAAGTGACCAGGGAGCTCCCCTAGGAAAAAAGTCTTTCAAAGGTAATGATGATAACTAAAAAATTTAAGTCAAATCTCCCAATTCTTTTTATTCTAGTGAATGCACACGACTACTCAAAACACACACACAAAGAATTTATTGATCTTACTTTTTCCAGTCTTCTTCACCTGAATCCTTCTCTAGCTTCCGTCTCATCTTCGTCAGTATTTTGCCCCTGCGATTGTCCCGATATTCACGCTGATGCTTGGGGCTCACATATTTGTGAAACAGAGTAATGATATGAGCTCTTTCTGCCTGATGTAGGTTAGCAGACTTTATCCCTCTCTGTAATGAAACACAAGTTAAATAAAGTCCCCATGTAATTATTTAAAGGTTTCATTATTTATATTAAAACTTTAATGTTGAGAGGTAAATTAGCATGTCTGGCATAAATGGCATGGTGGGGGGGGGGGGGGAATCATAAAGAGCTCGATCTCACTTCTCATTGATAGGTAAGTAATGATAGGTAAGCACCTATCCTGGTACATGCCCGAGCCTGGTATCTGCCCGAGCCTGGTATATGCCCGAGCCTTATATCTGCTTGAGCCTGATACCTGCCTGAGCCTGGTACCTGCCTGAGCCTGGTACCTGCCTGAGCCTGGTACCTGCCTGAACCTTATACCTGCTTGTGCCTGGTACTTGCCTGAGCCTGGTACCTGCCTGAGCTTGGTCCCTGCCTGAGCCTGGTCCCTGCCTGAGCCTGGTCCCTACCTGAGCCTGATACCTGTCTGAGCCTGGTACCTGCCCGAGCCTGGTACCTGCCTGAGCCTGATACCTGCCTGAGCCTGGTACCTGCCCGAGCCTGGTACCTCTGAGCTTGGTTCATATTGAAACACTTCTTCTTTAAAGTAAGTGCAATTTACGCGAGTTCAACTTGGTACTTGCCTAAGCTTGGTACCAGCCTGAGCTTGGCCTCCAGGTAGCCTGCCAGGTCCCCCGCGGCCACTCACCTTCTTCAGGACATCCAGCATCACCTCCACCGGCAGGATCTCCGGCTGCAGGTAACTAATTTGACTCAGTTGAGGCTGCTCCACCTGGACACAACCACGCCGAGCCATGTTTGTTTTGGTCGCTGGAGAGGCTGAGTGCCTCCACACTCACGCACTTTAAAGTAAACTATTCTCAATATTTGTATTGCATAATACGTGTGTGAAGGCTAATGTTTGGGGTTGAATATATATAATATCAAAACAGCCTTTGGTTTTTAATCAATGTCCGGAATATAGAAGTGCGTCTTAATATTGATGCTATAACTGCAGCTTCGTTTATGTGCATTAGATAGTGTTATTCGGTATTATTATATATAGATGCTTACGCTGAGAAACGACATTTAAAGCATGAGTACGGAGAAAATATTTAAAATTAGAGGATGAATGTCCTCTGCGCGACGCTGTGGGAGAAGTGCGCGTCAGGGGCGTTTAACATTTATTTCTTTATTTCTTTATATGTATACAAGAAGGTACAGTGGGATTGTGAGGATACATAATATAGTAATTACAATCTTGTAAAGCCACTAGTACGCGGAGCGTTTCGGGTAGTAGGGCTCGATTTCAGGCTCAACACCTTACTGAGGTCTGACCAGTGGTTGGATGGGTGACCATTGGGTCTGGCGAGTGTCTGGTTAGGCGACTCTCCGGCCTGCCCAGTTTTTTTTTTATATACAAGAGTTGTTACATTCTTGTACAGCCACTAGCACGCATAGTGTTTCGGGCAAGTCCTAATTAATCCTAATTTTCACACACACATATCCCCAGGAAGCAGCCCGTAGCAGCTGTTTAACTCCCAGGTACCTATTTACTGCTAGGTGAACAGGAGCATCAATGCGAAAGAAACTCTGCCCATTTGTTTCCGCCATCGCCGGGGATCGAACCCGGGTCATTAGGACAACGACCTGCCAGACCCTGAGCTGTCCACTCACCCGCGAGGCCCCCCTATATAGGTCCATATTGGAGGGTATGTATTGTTACGGTAATCTCCTGCTTAGGCAGAAGATCCTGTTCCCTTTACCGCCTATTCACCAACGTATCTGCATGCTCCAACATAAGGAATCACCATCAACGACAACAACAATACATGCTCACAAGCCTCAATGTCTAGACAGAACCCCCCCCCCCCCTTAGTACCCAAGACACCTGCTGTCTGGGCAGAGATCCAGCACCACATGCTGGTCAACTAGCCACTAACTGCTTATTTAATTGCCGGCCGATGGTTACCCACAACATTAGCGCCATCTATGCTGGCCTGGCTCATATAAAAGCTCACCGGCGTCCGGTCAGACCACACATTCGGCACCGCTCCTGTGCCAGGTAAGTCCACTACGGGCTCACCATAGCCCGTGCTACTCGGAACGAGTAGCTGAATCTATAACAACAACAACGTCCAGTCATCGGAGACACCTCCCGTCACGCAGGGTGCAGTCGCACCTCCACAGATCTCCAGTATCAGCTCTTGATACTGGTAATGGCTCAAAAGGGCTACCACTTACGGGCTATGCCCGTGCCCCCTTTTGGGTGGCTTAATCTTTATCATCGGCGTCCAGTCATCAGAATACACTTCGTTCTCTCAACAGTAACATATACTGTTGCCTCCCCAGGTGACAGTATGTTGTTGTTATAGATTCAGCTACTCGGAACAAGTTCCAATTAAGTAGCACGGGCTATGGTGAGCCCGTAACTTACCTGGCACAGGAGCGGAACAAGTAGCACGGGCTATAGTGAGCCCGTAGTGGACTTACCTGGCACAGGAGCGGTGCTATGAAGTGACAGTAGATGCGTACACCTTTTGTATAAAGTAATTTGCACCTCTTTTGCTTAAAGAAAAAGAAGGGGCATTGTTTTGTATGTTATTAAAGTCATTTATGTTATATTAAATGTTTTAAGTGTTTATTCTCCTTGTTTTACCAGCAGCTCTCACAGTGCAGAGGAAACCAGCAGACTTATTTACTTTATTTTACTTTTTTTATTAATGTGCGATTGGCACAACACCAGCCAGAAAAGCCACTGCTCTATTTCAGATTATCGTCACATTAAACGAGTCCCTAGGAGAACTTACCACAGTATATATGTATATGTACATAATTTTGCCTATCCCAACCAACCTTTGTCTGTACCTAACCCCAGACCATCTCCCCTATAAATTTGTGTAAGGTCAGCCCCAAGTGTCTGGCCTCCAACTTTGGACAGACATTCTCTCGTACGGTATCCGGCGTTGCCCGGGACTGCCAGTCTCTCTTCCAGTCTCTCTCCCGGAAAGCAATGCATCCAAGTTACTTTTAAACCCTTTCTCCCTTCAGGCACTCTTCCCCTTCCCTCATCCTCCCTCCCCTCATCCTCTTCCTTCCCACCCTTTCCCTTGTCCTCCTTCCTACATCAACCTCTCTCCCCTCTTCCCCGCCTTTCGCCTCGTCCTCTCCCTTCCCCTCCCATAATTCCCTCCTTCCTCTTCACAAAATATAATATTATGGAAAAATGAAACATTTATATGTTTAATTTTTTTTATTATTAACACATTTAGGTTGGGGCTTGTGGCTGAGTAGTCAGCGCTACAGATTCGTAGTCCTGTCGACGGAATCGATCCCCCGGCGATGGCGGAAACAAATGGGCAGAGTTTCTTTCATCCTGATGCCCCTATTACCTAGCAGTAAATAGGTACCTGGGAGTTAGACAGCTGTTACGGGCTGCTTCCTGGGTGTGTAACAAAAAGGAGGCCTGGTCGAGGACCGGGCCGCGGGGACGCTACGACGCGAAATCATCTCAAGATAACCTCAAGATAGGTACATCTGAATTTGTGCAGCTACCCTAGACTATTTGACGTCTATATGACTAAATAGTACAGTGTCAAAAAACTAGCTACGTGATGCTAAAATCCCCATCACACAGGATGGTTAGTCATACAGAGGCATGTGATAAGTAGTCTGTAGTGGCAGACTCTGGGTGCATTCATTATGAGGATAAACACAAGAGTGAATAAGGTAACAGTGATACTAGAAGTCCCCATCTCGCAGGATGGTAAGTCATTCAGGGCCATACGTTCAGTAGCCTCGGACATCTGAACGAATATTTCACGCGACCAGAATTGAATCCGTGAGAGCGGGGGGAGGGGGGGAATAATTATTATTTCTTAAATCATTTAACTTGAGCTTAATCCAACCAGCCTATGTCTGTCCCTTACCCCAGACCATTTACCCTACAAATATGGGTAAGGCCAGCCCCAAGTATATGGCCCCCGACTTTGAACAGACACGACCTTGTGTACCACTTATGTCAGACCAATCCTGGAGTATGCAGCGCCAGCCTGGAGACCATACCTAGTTAAACACAAGACAAAGTTAAAGAAGATTCAGAGGGACTAGTCCCAGAACTGATAGAGGTATGAACCACGAGGAAAGGCTACGGGAGCTAAACCTCACGTCTCTGGAAGACAGAAGTGTAAGGAGAGACATGATCATCACCTACAAAATTCTCAGGGAAATTGACAGGGTGGATAAAGACAAACTACTTACCATGGGTGTGGAACACGAACAAGGGGAAACAGGTGGACACAGGTGGAAATCTAGTACCCAAATGAGCCACAGAGACACTAGAAAGACATTAGACATTAGAATAGACATTATAAAGACATTAAACATTAGAATGGACATTATAAAGACATTAGAATAGACATTATAAAGATATTAGACATTATAATATTATAAAGATATTAGACATTATAATAACATTATAAAGATATTAGACATTATAATAACATTATAAAGATATTAGAATAGACATTAGAGAGACATTAGACATTATAATTTGTTCAGTCAGAATAGTCAACAAATGTAATGCATTAGGCAGTGATGTGGTGGAGGCTGACTATACCCATGAGGCTTCACCGCTGAGTGAACAGCGCTCAGTGGTCGTAGTCCGAATGGCCCGGGTTCGATTCCCGGCGTAGGCGGAAACAAGGAGGCAGAGTTTCTTTCACTATGATGTCCTGTTCACCTAACAGTAAATAGGTACCTGTGAGTTAGACAGCTGCTACGGGCTGCTTCTCTGGGATGTCCGTGTGTTAGAGATATATTTTATGTAGTAGACATAGCAGAGGAAAAATAGATTGGCTAGAAAGGCGGGGTCCAGGAGCTAAATAGTTCGATTCTGCAGACACATATAGTAAAAAGTTTCAAATGTAGATTTGATAGAACCCAATAGGCTGCAGAATATGTACACCGGTTGATTGACAGTTGAGAGGAGGGACCAAAGAGCCAAAGCTCAACCCCCTCCCCCCCAAGCACAACTAGGTGAGTACATTCTCTCTTATAGTATAGATACGACCCTTGGCTTCCACTATCCTTCTAAAACTTTATAAATCTTTTCCGCTTAATTATTTCATATAGTTCTAGTTTTATCTGGATTAATCACATTATATATAGTAGGCCTAGCTTATACGTTACCCTTGAAGAGTTTATACATTAGAATTTCTAAATTTATTTGCGAGACGTCGTCGTTGTCAAACACAATTCTGTTGTGTACGGAGGAAAATTTGTATTGTGGAATGTGAGGCTGCAATCCCACGGCATGAATGGCGTTCCTAAGATTCCCTCTCCTAGGGAAAACTGGCCCAAGTAACATCTGGAGGATTTGTTGTAAACGGTAGACATCTCCCAGGAACGTGCGGACATTACCAAGAATGGTATGTTTTAGGACCGCTTTGTCGCGGGAATATCAGAGGATTTATATATATTTTTTTGTAGGAGGCTCATGGTAAAAATTTCGCCCATTAGATGACAACACTGATTTCCTGGCACGTCCCCGGCCGTCAAGTTCCTCCCGCGGAGAGCTTCCACCTGGCGAATATTTTCAATAACTGTAACCGCCAAAGAAGCAGTCTTTCCGCCATGAAGTTGAACATGTACTAAGCAGACAAACTAAAATGATTCCGTTAGAGTTAACTTAAGATTATTATTTATTTGGCGAAAATATTGAGGAAAGGTAGTGGCAACCGAGCGGGGCATGTGGGAAACTAGGGGTGGGGTGGGAAGTGATTCAGCCGCGGCGGGTCAGTAGCGCGCCTCTACCCTCGCTGGCGGGTCGTACACCTCCACAGTTTACCTCCTGTCTTCCTAGTACAGTGAACTGTCTTGTAAACATGTGACGTGAAAAATAAGACGAGTTTTAAAAGTGTTGCATTTTTTTTTTTGACGGATGACTTAATATTGTGAGCGGTATTTGATTGTTTACTATGGTAATACAAACATGAAGTGCCACGGAAACATCTCCAGTGCCTGGCCCTAAACTTATGAGTGATTTCATGACATTTCATTTGTTGAGTAAACAGTGTCATTAAGGACGATAATTTTTTAAGCCATGAATGGTGAACTTCGATAATTGAGGCTTAGTTCAATTGCGAGTTTTCCAGGCGCCTGCCCTGGTTAGGTCAAGGCAGATATGTGGCACACCTACATTAACACTGACGGCAAGAAGCCAGACTCCCTTAGCGAGAGCAAGAAGCCAGACTCCAGTACCGAGGGCAAGAAGCTAGGCTCCAGTATTGAAAGCAAGAAGCCAGACTCCGGTAGCGAGAGCAAGAAGCGAGACTCCAGTAGTGAAGGCAAGACGCCAGGCACAATTAGTAAGGGCGTTGATCTGGACTTTTTGACAGACGCCAACGTGTACTACAACTTGCCTCCACCTCTGCCGTGTGCCCACAGCTGCTGGGCCTCCCTCCCACGCGGTCACCCTCCACCCCAACACCATTTCAGGCCCTACTCTTCCTGCCCCGCCTCCCCCAAGCTCCCTCCTGCCGTAGTCCCACGCAGGAACATTTCTCCTCGACCACCCGTGGCCCAAGAGAGGGCAGGGAAGGATGAGGTGTCTCCTACCCTCAAACCGCGAGCTCCAAAACCTACGCATAAAAAGTTGTCCCACACCCGCTCCTTCGATCTAGATCATCTGTACCAGAACCTGGTCCGAGTGACCAGTAAACCCCGCAGCAACTCCTTCAGCATAGATCTGCCCTGGAGACGCAAGAAGAAGGTACAGGAAGCTACTCCTGATATTAAGGAAGATGCTGGAGAGGAGAATGCCGCTCGGATGCTGCCAGCTCCTCACACTCCTGCCGAAGAAACATTTCCTAAGCCTAGTCTGTTGCTAACCAGCAGTCCTCGGTCCATACCAGAAACACATAGCAGCCAGACAACTGAAATTAGCAGTAGCAGCAGCAGTAGTAGTAGCAGTAGTGGTGATAGCAGCAGCGGTGGAGTGCCAGGGGACTGTTCAGCAGAGGTGTGCCCTGGGGTTACCTACCTGAGGGACACGGGGCCACGTAACCCTCCGGTCAACTGTGTTCACGAGGATGCTGTCAACTCCTGGTACCACACGGCTGCTACACTGCCTCTCCGTGCCAGCAAGTGTTCCACCAGTGAAGGATCTCAGCACAACTTCAAGCCAAGACAGGCACTAGACGTTAACGCTAATTTGGACGAATGGTTACGCAAAGAACGTTGGTTGGAGAAAAAACGCAGCTCTCGTAACCTTCGACTGGCAGGTATGCGTTAAGTCATTAATTGTTTAGTGGAGCATGCTTTGTTAGGAGTTTTAGATATATTATGTTGGCCAACAGAATAATGTATCATGCTCTTTACATATACAGTATTACATAATTTTAGTCAGGCTGTCCAAGTTTCTTACATAGCTATGTGTCATATGCTGTATAGGATAATCATCTACACGAGTATAAATAGGCGCTACCTCGCATGGGCGGGTATGCTTTGGTTTCCTTTATTATTATTATTATGTTCTTCTGAAATAGTGCTGGAGTTAGATGCACTGCTGGGAAGCCAGATGTCACATTATTCAAACCATATTATATGACCCGTTGAAATGTGGCTCATAAGTTTTATAGGGTAATATAGTAATAACCAATATCGACGTTTTTCAAATTTCTTTTACTGCGACCAACAGCAAGAATTGCATTTTGTATTGCGACCCAGTATGGCTATATATAATAAATCAGACAAAGAGGCTATAAATTATGTTCCTTTATTTGCTGTTGACACGTGATAAATGCATGTTTACGGATGGAACCTATTTAATTAAATTATATATTTATGTTTTTATTTAATATATAAAGCAATATCCCAGCAATATTCCTTATGCTCGCTGGGAGGATGTTGAACAACCGTGGACCTCTGATGTTCATACAATTTGACAGTCTCCCGTAAGAGATCACACATATCATGGGAGGGCAGAGGTCACATAAATCATGGGGGGGGGGGCAGAGGTCACACAGAATCATGATTATGAGTTAGTCTGTAGAAAACTAAGCCCACTAATTTTACTTACCCAGTAACTATTGTCTTTTAAATATTAATATATCTGAAGATGAAGGAAAGACCCAATATAACAGTATGTGTAAGTGTATTAAAAACAAAATTTTCGGGTGTAGCCTACAGCCTTTGTATACAGTGTTGGAGAACAGTGTATACAGTATCTTGAGAAAGGATCACACTTTGTACAAAGACTAGCGCAAGTTGATCCTCTTCGGATGCCAAGACAGTTAACTGCTGGTTGTAGACAATGTCTCCACCTGTACGCGACCACGGCTTGTGACCACCCTCGGCGCTGATCTTGGTTATCACCTTGGCGATGATAACCTGTGGTGTATTGTCTTAATTCTGTTCTCTGAAGTTGCGCAAAGTGAGAAATGGCCAGGTATCAAGCGGCCATGAGTTAATTGTATCTTTATCTAAACGTTATAAATCAAATTGGGTATATTGCCTTACCTGTGAAAAGTAACTGAGTCACCTGTAATATGCCTTTCCAAGCACACTGCGATGGCATCATTGGGTGAGCGACTACATTGTGCACCCATCATTCTATGTTATTTATATTTATTTTTAAAATTATACAATTATACAAGTACATAGGGTTGTGAAGGGACATACACTAGTGATTGAATGGTACATTCTTGCAAAGCCACAAGCAAGCATAGCATTTCGGGCAGGTCCTTAGGCTAACCAATAAATGTTACGATAGGTATATTGTAACAAGAATATGAATTCACATAATAGGTACCTCATTTTAAATTGCTAGAATAAATTGTGCTAATTAGGTTGCATTTCTTTAGTAATAAACTGGGTGAGTGGGTAGCACAAGATACTGTGTAAGTTAGCAGCACAAGGTGGTATACTATGAAGATGAAATTATGTACGTCTTGGTTCTGCTTTTGAATAAGTATAGGCTGGACAATTGTTTAATTCATTTGGGAATGAGTTCCATATTGGTCCTTTTATTTGTATGGATTGTTTGTAGAAATAATAGTCTAACTGGGAATATCAAAGTGATGTTTCTGATGTGAGTTCTGGGTTCTATTACATCTTTCTAGGAGGAGGTTCAAAATAGAATTAAAATTTAGGAATAAGATTTTGTATGTGTAAATAGCACAAGAGAATGTGTAGAGTAAGATTATGTTTAGTATGTTCAGGGATTAAAGAGAGGGACTGTGTGATGTCTGAAGAAAGAATTTGTTATAGTTCTGATAGCAGATTTTCGCCAAGTGATGATAGGCTTGAGGTAGTTTGCAATTGTTGTACCCCATGCACAGATACCGTATGTTAGAGAGGGTAGATTAGCGAGTAGTATATATATAATGTCATGGCTCCTCTATTGTGTGTATGCTTTTAAGGTCGAAAGTATTTTGTTTCCCCACTGTTAGGTACAGAAAACCTTTGAGATCCCTTCTTAAGCCCCGGACTGATACGAGGAACCTCCAGGTTCGCACCCAATATGCTGCTTGGTTAACAGAGGAATTAGGTGTAAGTAATCTGGCTCAAACATATCCTCCCCAGACATCAAACTTGGGTCCAGCCTGTGTAAGCAGACAGGAGTTAATGCATATTCAGTAAAACTATTTGCTGAACTGCAGGATGCTTAAAATAATTTTGTTTCTTAATGACTTTCCTAAGTTAGCCTAGCACTTTGCTGTAAGAGCTTTGGGTGTGTGGGAGGGGGCACCAGAAGATAACTACTCTATGTAGATGATGACGTCACATAAACACGCGGATTCCTACTGAAATGTTCTTGTCAAACAAGAACAGCGTCTGGTGCGTCGTTCACCAGACTATCGCTCATGGCCACCAGTTTATGCTCACCCTCGCAGGTTTTAGCCCTATCGGGACCTTCAGACTCTGGCAGTGATGAAGCCTCGCGAGAACCATGTTTTGGTAGGTGGGCTAAATTTGGGCAATTGCGAAAAAAGGTGGCACGTGTTTAAAGGCGAGGGAGGGTGATTGATAGTGAAATGATACGGCTGAGCTCGAACTGAGAGGGGGAAAGAATGCGCTTAAACAATGGTAGGTATGAAGACGTGTGTAGGGGGGCGAGCAGGGAGCAGCCATAGCACCCCAGCCAACTACAAAAGGCATATTAATACGATTTTGGTTAATGGTTTGCTGGGCCAGGGAAGAAAGGTATCTCAAATGGCGCCTCGCTTGTCTCTAGAGGTGAGAGCAGCCGCCTATATACTGGGAGTGCGGTGATAATGGCGAGACTTGGGGTCTATATCCGGCTACGGGTGAGAGTTATGGAGCCAAGTGCACGACAACCTGCAGCTCAGGTAGCCTACTCCTTCCTCATACAACCTGCAGCTCAGGTAGCCTACTCCTACTTCATACAACCAGCTCAGGTAGCCTACTCCTACCTCATACAACCTGCAGCTCAGGTAGCCTGCTCCTACCTCATACAACCTGCAGCTCAGGTAGACTACTCCTACCTCATACAACCTGCAGCTCAGGTAGCCTACTCCTACAACCTGCAGCTCAGGTAGCCTACTCCTACCTCATACAACCTGCAGCTCAGATAGCCTACTCCTACCTCATACAACCTGCAGCTCAGGTAGCCTACTCCTACTTCATACAACCAGCTCAGGTAGCCTACTCCTACCTCATACAACCTGCAGCTCAGATAGCCTACTCCTACCTCATACAACCTGCAGCTCAGGTAGCCTACTCCTACCTCATACAACCTGCAGCTCAGGTAGCCTACTCCTACCTCATACAACCTGCAGCTCAGGTAGCCTACTCCTACCTCATACAACCTGCAGCTCAGGTAGCCTACTCCTACAACTTGCAGCTCGGGTAGCCTACTCCTACAACCTGCAGCTCAGGTAGCCTACTCCTACCTCATACAACCTGCAGCTCAGGTAGACTACTCCTACCTCATACAACCTGCAGCTCAGGTAGCCTACTCCTACAACCTGCAGCTCAGGTAGCCTACTCCTACCTCATACAACCTACAGCTCAGGTAGCCTACTCCTACCTCATACAACCTACAGCTCAGGTAGCCTACGCCTACCTCATACAACCTGCAAGATGAAACGTGAATATTTTTATTTAGTACTTATAGTAACGATGATGACCATCGTACATATATTAACGCAATGGGCAATGAGAAAGTTGAATTTGGACAAACCGGGAGAGGTTTTGTGTTCATGTTGCTAATACAACCTAACCTAACCGTCCTTGGCCTAATACACGCTATCCGAGGCCTAATGTAGTACATATATTTGAGTTCACTGCACATGGCTTGAACAGGCAGTCAACTACACGTGACAGCCAGAGTGCACCACATGAGTCCACCACATGTGACTTGGACATGCAGCTAAAAGCTGGTGTTTCACGGGGCAGCGTTGCTCACAGACCCGGAGTGTTGCCATTCCACAGTACTCTGTGGTATTTGTCGGCTGACTTTGGTGTCCCGTAACATATTTCTGGCGTTTAGCACATGTCATCTGGCGTTTAGCACATGTCATCTGGTATTTAGTATAAGGGTACGGAGTTGTTGTGTCGCCCGTTCTTACTGAATACAAGTTCAACATGTCATGTCGTGATGGGAGACTTGTATGAAAATGAGGAATTCTCCACTGAGGTACAAATGCCTGCACTTGAAACAAGCCTCCCCCCCTGCCCAGTCATCCCCCCACATGTTAACATTCATGAATGCGTCATTGGGGTCGACCACTGGATGGAATGGACTTTGTCTGAGGACGGGTTGAATAATGATTCTAATAAGTTAATGTTAAATTAAGAGTCATTATGGATTATTTAACATTATATAAATACTAATTGTGTCGGGGACAGGTAGCCAGTGAATATATAAATGCCACACACCAAATGCCCCCCCCACCACACTAAGGTCGAATTACTGACCCTCCTCCAACAACAAGCTGACTAACATCTGGACACCTATTTACTGCTAGGTGAACAGAGGCATCAGACGATAGAAAATACGCCCAACCATTCCTGTCCCACCCGGGATGCGAACCCGGAATTGCCGATTGTAAGTCGAGAATGAACCCGACTGTATTGCCGTCATTACGTAAGTCGTGTGGATTATTTGATGTTACGAAAACCATTATGAATTATTTGACGTTAAGAAAATTATTATGAATTATTGATATTGAGTATTCAGGTTTAAGGGGTTCATTTCCTGAGCCCGTTATGTATGTGTTTAAACATTTTCCATCACCGCCCATGGCATGGGTATAGG